GCGGAGCCTGGGGTCCTGGGGTCTGATCCTGTTCTGGAGACGGGTGACACGACAGCCAATGTTTGTTGTTATGGGAGGGATCGCCCTGTACATTTGGTACCGGAATACACACAGATGCTCTGAGCCCGCTGCCTGCCGGGTCAGGCTGGCTGCCAGACGGCGCTCCACCCACAGGAAATCAGCCTTGGGGACAGTTACTTGGCACTGTGGGGACACCGGGGTGGAATTTTAGGGCCAGGCACCGAGTTTCATCATGCTTCCTCTTTGCTGTGTGGCCGGAGGGCGCAGCCCTTTCCACGTCCTGCATTATTCAGAACTCGCTGCAGGGCCCGCAGACGCCGGTGTGGTCGCGCGAAGGACAAGGGTGATTGTACAGGCCTGTGGCCTGGGTACCCGCCTACCCTCAAGCATAGACGCCAGATGCTGTTCCAACAGGTTCCAATTACCACGGTCCTTAATGTCACCACGGGTGGAAAGATGGATCCTCAGAGCTTGGTTCGCTGCTGTGCCTAACTTGAAAGATATGCTTTAAAAAATTCCTGCGGAGACGCAAAAAGACCAGTTGGTGCCTTACCTTCCGTTAGAAACATGTCTTCAGCAATGCGGCACAGAGAGTTCTTAGGAAGCACCGCAGTGAGGAATGAGACAGGAAATGCAAGTGGTTCACATCAAAGAGATTCAAAATGAAGGTCTGACAGGAATGGAAGTCCTGTCTCTTTTGATTTTCAATTCCAAGTTTAATTACTGCCCAGAGAGATAGTCCTGGAAAGTTGTGAGTATATTGAATTTTTATATATTCATTTCCTTTACATCCTTGAGGTATAAAGTCAGTACCACCTTTTGATCCAGGCAAACTGGCTCCCGCCTGTGGAGGCTGGGGATGGCAGGGTACCCTGAGCCTGGTCTGAGACTGTGTGGATGTCAGACATCATTTCTACCTTTGGGACAGTCTCTCCAGCCCACTACCCTCTGTCCTCTGCCTAGGGTTGACCAGATGCCCAGAGCTCTGGGTCTCGCACAGCAGGGTCATCCTGGAGGGTTACCTGGTAATCTCTCACCCGCTGGTACCCAACTTCTTTCATGGCATCACATGAAATCGGGCAGCCGAATGATGCCAGCAGGCTGGCTTTGAGTGACTCGTATTGTTCATATAATAGGGACCCCACACAAAAAATTGTGGCCTCCGTCTTCCCACAGTAGGTGTACATAGAGTACAATTTCCACTGATTCTGAATTTCTGATAATTTGGCCAGGAGATGATTTTTAAATTTTTTTTTAACTTTGTATATGATATTGGAGTACAGTTGATTAACTATATTGTGTTAGTTTTGGATGTACAGCAAAGTGATTCACTTCTACATACACCTGTGTCTATTCTTTTGCAAATTCTTTTCCCATTTAGGATGTTACATACTACTGAGCAGAGTTCTCTGTGCTATACAGTAGCCAGGAGATGATTCAACATTTTAATTTTTTACCATTAAGTGTAAAAGTGGTGGGATTAAAAACTGTCCTGTCAGCACAAGTACGACGGTCAAAATATTATATCTTGCTTTAAGAAATATCAGGATAATAAACCAAATTATTATACAATTTACTCTAACTTTTATTAACTCTTAGGAGGTTGGTAAAGATTATAATTATGCTTTAGACTGAATCATAACTCTTAGAGAAAATTTACAATTAATAATTGTGTTTATTATTTTTTCTGTTTCCTCAATTTTATTTATCTTGTTAAGAAACATAACCCTCAAACTTGACAGCACAATATATGTGAAGATTTTTTCTCTAATGTATTTCTTCACTGGGATTAGAATCATAGCATATATTTGGCTGTTAGAAAGCTCGTTACCCGAAAGCCCCTTTTCTCACATTCTTGTTTTTGCCCTCAAGTCTGTCTCTCTATGAAAATCACTGGTTAAGGTGAATTAACAGCCAACTAAATACCTGAAAAATAATTTGCCGTTTACTTCAGCTGAGATAGTGTCAGCTGTGGGACCCTGGAGCAGGTGGCTTCACCTCTCTCAGGCCCCAGGTCCGCTTCTGTGAAATGATGGACCAGGCCACGTGGCCAGTGATTCTGCGTCCTGCACTTGTGAGGTATTTTCCAAAATACAATTCTTTTTTTTTTTTTAATTGAAGTGTAGCTGATTTATAATGTTGTGTTAGTTTTTGGTGTACAACAAAGTGACTCAATTATACATATAAACATATTCTTTTCCATTACGGTTTATTACAGGACACTGAATATAGATCCCTTTGCTATACAGTAGGTCCTTGTAGTTTATCCACTTTACATTTAGTAGCTTGGATCTGCTCATCCTACATTCCTGATTTACCCCTTCCCTCTTTCTCCTTTGGTAAACATAGGTTTCTTTTCTATGTCTGCGAGTCTGCTTCTGTTTTGTAAATAAGTTCATTTGTGTCATATTTTAGATTCTACGTATAAGTGATATCATATGGCATTTGTCTCTGTCTGACTTACTTCACTCAGTATGATCATCTCTAGGTCCATCCATGGTGCTGCAAATGGCAATATTTCATTCTTTTTTATGGCTGAGTAATACTCCATTGTGTATATGTACCACATCTTCTCTATCCATTCATCTGTTGGTGGACACCTAGGTTGCTTCCATGTCTTAGCTATTGCCAATAGAGATAGTCCCAGAGAGATAGTCTCTATGAACATAGGGGTGCATGTAGTTTTTTGAATTAGAGTCTTCTCTAGATATATGCCCGTGAGTGGATCGCAGGATCATATGGTAGCTCTCTATTTTTAATTTTTTAAGGAACCTCCATACTGTTCTCCATAGTGGCTGCACCAATTTACATTCCCACCAACAGTGCAGGAGGGTTCCCTTTTTTCCACACCCTCTCCAGCATTTATTATATGTAGGCTTTTTTTATTTTTTTTTTTTTTTTTTGCGGTATGCGGGCCTCTCACTGCTGCGGCCTCTCCCGCTGCGGAGCACAGGCTCCAGACGCGCAGGCTCAGTGGCCATGGCTCACGGGCCCAGCCGCTCCGCGGCATGTGGTATCTTCCCGGACCGGGGCACGAACCCGCGTCCCCTGCATCGGCAGGCGGACTCTCAACCACTGCGCCACCAGGGAAGCCCTATATGTAGGCTTTTTAATGATGGCCATTCTGACTAGTGTGACAGGCATCTCTCATTGTAGTTTGGATCTGCACAAAATATAATTCTTTATAAAAAGGGGGTGCATGGCCATATAAGTACGGGAGCTGCCTGACATTATATTGTCTTCTTTGGAAATTCTTAGGCACATTTGCATAAGACTCTGAGAGGCACTGAGTAAAAGAAACACATACAACTTGATTTAACTCAGTGCTTCCCAAGTTCGTTAGATCTGAAAACTTTTCTCCAAATAACATCACTGAACAGCCCGCAAAACTAGGGTCGCGCAGCAGAGCACTCTGGGCAGCCTAGCCCACAGCGTGAGCACCTAGTAGGTCCCCGTACGTCTGCCTTCCTTGGTTTGGGTCTCATCCCCAAGTGGAGGGCTGGACCTCTGGGGCTTCTGTCTGCTAAACACACCCATTGACACAGTTTCTAGTGAGGACCCAAAGTCTAAGGAGGGACAGTAAGGCTGTGGCTGGGGCCAAGAGGAAGACACATGGGTGTCAGGCCACCACCCCTGGCCCAGCTTGAGGTTGGAGTGTGTTCACAGGAAAGGGACACCACAGGCCGTCACGTGTGTGTGTCTGTGTGCGTGTGTGCACGTGGGATGTGCCCGGCCATGGCACTGGGAGGCCAGGACTCAGTGCCTGCTGTGGGGTCAGCACACACACACACACACACACACACACACACACACACACACATGCACACACACGCACACACACACACATGCGCAACACCTCGGGGAAACTTCCAGGGTTTAACACAGATGAGTTTTTGGCACGTGCAGTTGAAATTTAGGGTCGTTTGAGGAAGGAATCAGGACGACAGACCAGGAAAGGGAAAGAAGTGGTGTCTGCCTGGCGCTTGTTTTCCTAGAAATGAGCGTGAGGGTCTCACAGGAAGACGGCAGGGTGGATTCCCAGGACACGGAACAAGGGGACCCCAGAGACTCTGGCTCCGCTGGGCTCACTGCGCAGACAGGTGAGGGCGAGGGGTTCCTCCCGCTGCCCCACCAAGGGGACAGCAGCTGCAGACACAGGTGACACGTCGAGGACAGTCGCTACAGGCTGTCCGTGTTTCTCGGCTTCTTTTTTTTCCGTACATTTCTACGGTCTTAGACGGTTTCACATTTGTTCCCTCCTGACCCCTCCTCATGCTTTATCCTTTGAACATATTCTTCAGTGAGTTGATAGTTTTGAATGCCCAGAAGTAAAAAAATAAATTCTTAACTTTACACTGTTCTCCACCAAACTTAAATCTAAAACTACTAATCTGATCTCTGGCTCCTACAGGTAATGTGGAAAGAAATGTGTTTCCAAATATTTATAGGAAAACCCTCACTCACCTCACGTTTGTGCCAGGTCCTGTTTTTGCCTCTGAGAGTTTTCATGAATAAAACAGACCCAAATCTCTAACCTGTGGAACCAACATTCCAGTACAGGGCGTTAGCTCTGTAAACAGCAAATATCGCAAAGAAGTAAATTATGTTGCCTGCTGGAATCGTGCTTCTCAAACCTCAGTGTGTCTGCAGGTCCCCGGGGGCCTTGCTCAATGCAGACTCAGGTTCAGTAGGTCTGGGCGGGGCCTCAGCGCTCCCAGGGATGCTAACGTGCCCATCCTGGAAGCACACCTTTAATGCAGAGTATGAAGGTGAGCGCAGCACGTAGTGGGGGCGGGGGTGCAGGGCTGAGAGTCTGGCCTCACTCGGAATGGGGGAGGAGAGAAGGACGCAGGAGATCGGGCGGGAGCGGCGATGAGCAGGCCCAGGCCGCGGAGGCACGTGTGGTCCACGAGAGAAGCTGTGGTTTTCTGCCAAAAGAAATGGGAGCCAGGGAAAATTCTAACAGAGAAATGCACACATTTTACCAGCGTCCCTCTATTTGTTTAAAACAGGCTGAGTTGAACAAGGGTGGAGGCAATTATCGTTGCCTTTATCCTTGGGGAGGGTGAGGCATCCTCCCCCTTCGCCCCGCGTCCCCTCCCCCCAGCTCCCAGTGCACATGACGCCGGAAGCGGATGCGGTCACGGAACCAACGAGTGGCCTGGACCAGGTTCGGGCAAGCAGCAGCTCCGTAGCCGTGGACGGGTGCAGTGGCTTGTCGGCCGTGAGCATGGGAAACACTGACTAGGCTACCCTTCCCTGTAGCACACGGGCCGGCTTGGTCCCGCTCGCTGGATGAAGCGTTTCTGTCTGAGTCACCCGCCTGAGGCTCAGAGCTGGTACGACTGGCTCTGTTTGGGTTCTGCTTCTGGTCCAGGGAAATGTTTTCTTGATGCTGAGAAATGCTGTCTCAAGGCAACTTTTCTGATTTTACTTTGTCTACCACTGATGTGTGTGTGGAGCCTAGGGGCTAGGGCACCCCTCAAAGAGGACGCTTGCAAAGCCATCGGGAGCAGACACCTCCTACCCCAGTCTATGCTCAAACAGGCTTAATTTTCCAAGCACAATGATTTGTGTTCAACAGAAATCTGAGTCTGCAGTTTCCATCCACTGGTGGTGGTACGTCCTGCAGCCGCATAATGTCTTTAGACTCAAAGCACATGTGCTAAAGGGGAGAAACTCTAACATGATTCTTCCCAGTCACATCACAGGCTCACAGACATGAGGACTGGTCTCCTGTTTACACCTCCTGCTATCAGTGCGGCATCAGAGAATGGAAGTCGTTTTCGTAGGATCACACAAGTGGGTGGTGGCAGAACCAGGACTAGAGCCCAAGTCCCTTGCTTTGCCCGTAAGTCCAAAGCCAGAGGGGCTCTGACGCCACGAGGTGGGCTTGTGTGATGAGTCATGGGCATCGCAGATTGAAACCACGTGATTCAGTGTCCCCATTGCTCAAACCCTTTTTCACAAGGTGCACTTGCTCTGCAGGCATTTTTCACTCTCTTGATGTGGCAAGTGAAAGAAATATCCTTACTGAAAAGAAATCAGAACTTTACTTAGAAATAAATTCCCAAAACAATAGTAGGGAAATTTCAAGTTAGTGAGTATGTGTTAAGCTATTTCATTATTCCTTAATTGGATGAAAGAGTTTGAAAGGTACCTGCCGGAATAAAACCACTGATGTCTACTAATTTCATGTTTCCAATTGGCATAGAGATATTAGTTCAACTCAGCAAATTGCTCTATGTAAAGAAGTGTTCTTTACTATCGGATGTAAAGATTTTGACTACCTGTATCTTACATTTATATGGTCCTTAAACTTTTTCAGACTAGTTTTCATTATATTTTTATCCTCCTTTAACCTATAAAATCTTCTGAGATAGACACTGTTTGTTTCGTTACCCCCTTTTAAAAGACGAGGACACGAAGTCCTGGAAAGAACACATGACTCATTTTAAGATGGTGCATCTAGTTAATGTCAGTCTCCTACCTCCCACTTGGGCAATCTTTCCAGAAGACACAAGTTCTACAAGATCTACAAGGTCAGGTCCTGTCCTACCTGTTTCAATGTTGTCTCAGATGCTGACACCAAATAAAAAGAATATTGCATAAGAACACAGGCCCCTGCTGAGACTGTGGTTGGCGGTTAAGATCTACAGCAAAAGTGGTTTCACCTCCTTATCATCTGGGATCGCTCATGAATGCCCTTACATTTTACTGAATACTTAGGCTGTGTGTCCACTGCTTTGACTGGGATCGGGGTACCTGGAGGAGTTGGCTGGGTTCTCTGGGCTCCCCGTACCAGCCTCTTGAACCTGGCCGTGTGCCGTGAACTTGCACAGACCCTCCTGGATCCCTGTGACCAGCACCTCCTCTCGCCTTTCTCCTGAGTGCCTGATGGTCCACGCAGCCCTGCAGGTGATGCAGGACAGGTTCCTGTGAATGATGATTTCATAGCCCAAGCTTGTCTCAATAGCTTGCTCGACAGAGAATTAAATTCTATTAGCTCCAATTTTTTCCACACTGCCCTCTGGCCCTGAATTTGTCCTGGTCCCTTCAAAGAGGTAGGTCGGCCCTGCTCCTCTGGGCATTTAATTATGTGCCTGGATTTTCACTCATGACCCTCTCACACATCACTGATATTTCAAGGTGACGAGTCAGGTAAGAAGCCTCAAGAATTAATCCAATGGTGAACCCAGGAAAAAAGAGTTACAATGGCCCCAGGAATCTCTGGAAATCTTACAAGTATTTCATGAGACCAAACATTCCGAAATCATACTGACAAAATTGCAGGAGAGTTCATTGCTGTCCAGGGCTTTTTATTCTCGCCTAGAAGCTGTAATGAGGTAGAGTTCACATACAATAAACCACACATATCTCAGCTGTGCAATCGGATGTTTTGACCTATGAATGTACCTGTGAAACTGTCACCACAATCGAGGAAATGAACATGTCTATCACAGCCCGAAGTTTCCTCATTTCTAGAATTTTATGTAAATAAACCACGCAACATGTCTTCTTCTTTGGTCTGTCTTCTGTCAGCCGGCATAATTATTGTGGATTTCTCCACTTCGCTGTGGACAGCAGCACACATTTTATCACTGAGTAACGTTGCAGGCGTGCCATGGTTTATTTCCCGTCCAGCTGTTGATGGGTACCAGGGCTGTTTACAGTTTGGGCCTCTTGCAAATAAAGTTGCTATGAATGTTTGTGTACAAGTCCTTCATTCTTCTGGGGGAAGTGCTGGGAGTAGACAGCTGTCGGAAGGTGGCATTAGTAAAGTAACTGACAAGCTGGTTTCCAATGTTTTGGCACCATTTTGCATTCCACCAGCTGTGTACGAGAGTTCCACTTCCTCACATCCTCTTCCACCTCTGGCCTCATCAATCTTTTCACTTCCAGCCATTCTAATAGGTGTGTAGCAGTAGCTACGCGCTGGCTTTATCTTGCATATAGGGCTGTGTTTAAAATGTAATTTAGAACACAAGTTCTGCGATCATCATTTATACTACAACGTACATATACCTCTATGTAAGTCATTCAATGCCTTGCAATTCTGTTTTGTCATCTAAGACTTAAAGATATGAACACCCTACTTCTTCTCCGAGCAGAGTCAAGGGAAGTGTAAAATGTTTGTGGTCCCATGATCGGACACACTGACCCTTCCTCACCTGCCCTCAGGTGTGGAGTCTCACTTGTGCTCCTGCAGCTCCCAGCTGCGCCGGGCGCCCCAGACTTGGCCAGCGTGTGTGGGCAACAGCAAGGCCTCTTGCTGGGGTTTGGCTGCTGGCCCCCTGAGCCTGTTCTCTTAATCCTTCACGAGCCCTTGCAGATCCTCACAGGTGGCTGCCGTTACTCCAGCCTCACTGTCGGTGTCCTGCACCCTCAAAACCGCAGGGAAGTCTTGGGTGGGGTTGGGGAGCTGACTCTCTCCTCCAGATGTACCCTGGTAAAGGGACCCCAAAGCAGCGCTTGGGAAAATCTCTGTTTTTACCTAGAGCCCTCTCACCTTTGAAAATACACACTCCTTATTTTCTTTCTGATGAAAGCCGAGGTTCGGATTGCTTCAGTGATTGGCCCAAGATGAACTCATGAGAAGATCAGAGGCACAGGAAATAAATCCAGCGTGAAACTCATTCCACTACATAGCGCTCTCCTGTTCCGTGTTTGTGTGTGTGTAGACACGTCCACACAGGTGTTAAAAGTTGTGTGCAAGTGGGGCGTGCCTCTGCAGCACGTGGTGTTCTTATAACACATGTGACACGAGGCAGCGAGGTGACTATATGCCATTTCATTCAAATAAAATGAATAATTCAAAACAAATGAATAATCAGTTTTGTCATTCTGATTAGAAATAACTGATAAAAACTGCTGAAGTTAAGTCATGGAAAATAAAACGAACCTTCAATTAGCGACGTGGCAAAGGCTGAAAATGCAATTAATAGTAAATACACGTGTTGAAAACCATCGTGCTTTTATTTTTCAATACCCTCCCTGAGCAGGTCTTGAGTAACATCTTTCTTTCTGAGAAAAGAAAGTCCCTTTTTATTATACTTAGTATTAGCTGTACTTACTATAAGTGATGAAATGAAAAGCCCTATTTTTATTGTCGGGAAATCTAGTACAATAACACCACTGAGAGCTCATATAGCAATTCGTGATTTTCAGAACATTTTGGCAACAAGAATTATCTGAAGTCTTAAAAATAATCGTGTATCTTGCAGAGCTCTGAAATTTCTAGGATGAACAAAGGGGGTGACGGAAGCCAGTAGTTAATTTTCCAGAGCTGTGACGGGCGGTTTTATTGGAACATGGGCTTTTCAAACCCAGAGGTATCCTCACATCGTGGCATTAGTGGAGTTTAAAGAGAGGGTGCAGCTTAGCGATTAAAGAACAGAATCAAGGAACACAATGTCACCTCGCTCACTCGGAGAACCTTTGTAGCACCCACTGAAATGTTCTCTCAACGTGTGGTCTGAGAATCAAATAAACCAGAGCCTCCCAGGCAGCTTGAGAATTCTGATCCTCGGTCTCTGTTTCCGCTGAGTCAGTGTCTGGGGGGCCGGGGAAGATGCCTTTAAACATCTCACCAGGTGCTCCCGTCCTTCTGGAGTGTGGGAGCCCCACTGCGGAGGGCATCCTTGCTCAAGGTGTCACAGACACAGATAGGGAGATGCAGCAGCGGCCGGAGGAGAAGGGTGGTGGCTTTGGGCAGACACCGCGGGACACCTATCAATATTCTAGAGTGACCTGGGGCTGGCTCGCAGGTGATGCGCTCCCTCCTGTGGCCTGCAATACGGTGTCAGTGCTTTAGAATGGTTCCCCACGGTGCAATTTCTCCATCTGAAAACCAGAGTCACATACACAAGGACCACAGTTCCAGCCCGAGTCCCTCAGACAAAGCACACTGTACGGTCACCAAGAGCTGTGTCATCGTCACACCCCTGGGCCCTGGGAAAGCCTCTCAGACTCGCTCACCGGACACCTGGCCAATGGTCTTGGACAGTCGGGCCCTGCGAAGGTTCAGGAAACTGTATCAGTAAGACATTTCTGTTCTTCTCTTTTTCTCTCTCTTATACTAAGTGAGAAATTATTTAATTCAATTCAAGTTGGTACCCACTAAGAGCTTAGCACTTACTTAAAATTTTTCATTTATTTTATTCAGAAAACAATAACCGATAACAGCACTGAGAGCTGACGTCAATGGCACCCCGGCCGCTGGGCCATTTGACTCCTGCTGTGTTGAATCGTCTTCACAACCCTGTGGGGAAGGCACCGTAATCAACCTCCTTTGTACCTTATTCGGCGTGTACTAACCTCCATCGTAAGGGGACAGAGGCTTGAGGAGCTAAGTTACAAGGTCGTAGATCTTGTGAGTCTTGACCCGGGCCTGCGCTGCCTCTAGCACAGATGACAGGCAGGTAGCCGCCAGGTTCTCCCTTGGGGCTCCTTCTGTAGAAATAGTTTGCTATTCAATACACATTACGTGAGAATCGACCATGTGCAAACCTGTGGGACAAAGCCCAGTAAATGTTCCTCAAACAGAAGGGACTGGGCTACAGGTCGGGCGTGGGAAGTCAGTGTGGCAAGGAGCCCGGCCCTCCAGGCAGAGACGCGAGGGGAGACACAGCTGCTCGTAAGTGACTCTAAGTCAAGGGCAAAACATGCCACAGAAATGACACTGAAATTTGCTGTGAGCATTTGGTAAAGTGAGAAATGAATCCTGATCTGCAGACAGAGGCTACAGCAAGCCCGAGGACGTTCCATTGAAACGACGCAGAAGGTGACCTGAACGTCTGGCATCGGAGCAATTAGATAAATTGTTAATCACCCGCTCAGTGTAACATAAGAAGCGATTTTAAATGATGCCACAGCAGAAGAGGTCTATTGGTGTGGAAAGACGTGCACAGTCCAAAAGCAGAAAACAAAACAAAGTGAACATATCAGGTTACACGAGATTAGGTTATACATCATCTATTTTTGAAAAATAATAGATATACACACATATAAAGATACACGTGATAGGCATGTATGTTCTTATGAGCACAAAAGACACGTGAGGTTCATGTGTTTGTATACATATTAAAGTCACACATTATACACCTGTGTTTGTGTGTCTATGAAAGGCACAAGTGACTTGCATGTGTGTTTGTATACATGGGAAAGACACACATAATGTATGTGTGCCCCTGCAAGCATGTGAAAGAACCATCAGAGGTACCTGTGTGTTTGCTGCACTGGGAAGACACACAATGCATGTATTTATATGTTTACATATAAGACACATAAATGTACATGTCTGCATGCACAGGGAGGCACATGTGATGTACTCTCTGGAAAGTGTGGAATTTGCCATTTCTACCTGATCTTTCCTAAATGAAAATTTAGGAAGTAGAAATCCTTTGTAAGGCCTTTCCTCCTCCAGCACAAGACACACACACACTCTCACACATGCACTTTTACACTCACACACATATGCACACACACACCACACGCACACACACTCTCACAGACATACACTTTCACACTCACATACACACATACCCTCACATACACACACATTCACACACACACCACACACGCACACTCTCACATACACACACTTGTACACACACACTTGTACACTCACATACACGCACAGTCTCACATACACACACTTTTACACACACATAAAGACACACTCTGTCTTACACACGTACACACACACGCCATACTCACAGCCTGACCAAGATAAACCAGGTTGGGGTGTGGAGACAGGGGGATTCCTGGGACCTTTGCAGGCATAAAGTGTCTTTCTTCCCCCTCCAGCTGATTTTAAGATTTTCTCTTTATCTTTGGTGTTTAGAAATTTCACCCTGAATTTGCCAGATGTGTGTTTTTTTAAATCCTGATTTATGATACACTAAGTTTGGGCCATTGGTTGACCCTCCATCATTTGGAAAATTCTCACCTATTATCTTTTCCAAGATTTATCCTGCATTATTCTATCTCCCCTCTCTTGGGACTTCTCTGTCCTGGTCTTAGCTCATTTGATGTTGTCCCTCAGATCTTGTGCACTTTGCTTCTTTTTTCTCCTATTCTTCTCGGTTTGGATAATTTTTGCCAGTCTGTCTGCTGCATCCAATCTATTGAAAAGCCTATAGATTGAATTCTTCATTTGTGCTATTTTTTATACCTAACATTTCCATTTGTCCCTTTTTTGTCTCTATGCTGAAATTCTCCACCTGTTCACACATGCTGCCCACCTTTTCCACTACATCCTTTAACATATTTATCACAGTCATTTTAAAGTCCTTCTTATTTCGAAGTCCAACATTTGGATTTAGTGTAGATGTAATTATAGTTACTGTTTTCTCTCTTGACTGAAGGTCATATTTTCTTCCTTTGTTGCGTGTATTGCAATTTTTATCGTGTGCCAGGCATTGTGTGCAAAACAGAGTAGAGACTGTAGTAAACATTTGCCGCAGAAAAGGACAGACCCTTCTTCTTCCAGGCTGCATGACGGGTGCTGAATCAGTCTCATCTGCAGTTGAGCTGGGTCTGAGTTTTGTTGAAACTTTAGTGACATTCAGTTCACCACTAGTTTCTAGTTTTTGTTTTGTTTTGTTTTGTTTGATTGTATAATTTAATGACAATATAAACAGCATAGTTTTGTTCTTTTTCCTTTAAAAAGACTAAAGCAAAAATGATTTAAAGCTAACAAAAACTACTGTGACATCAGTTTGACATTCAAAGTTTGTTTCTTAGCAAAATGGCCACAGATATTTTGACTTGATACAGAGTATATAATATAAAGACTTTTAGACCTAAAAATCTTCAAACATTATTTGAATTTAGCAAAACATAAGCAAAATTTTAATATCAAAGTGCTAAACAGTACTGCCTTAAAAGTCACTGCAAATGAACCATAAAATAACCGCATGGGAAGTAACATTTATTGTACAAATGGTTAATAAAAAGACACATTATAAATATATATATGTAACCTGCTATATTTATATATATATTTGTTTATTTAATTTCTAATTGGTGTATCCAAGTTCACTGGGAACACCCCATTTAAGTACTCTGTAACTCAGCTTCCAGGAGCTGATGGTCTTGCAATAAATACAGGCAAAGCTATTACAAATGTCTTTGAGGAAGGGTGTCGCAACTTCTCCCCAGCACAACTCGGTACCTGAGTCCCGGCAAGACTCTGGGGTCTCTTCCTGCTGCACGGCTCAGCCACCGGCCACGCGAGGTGTGGGAGTTTTTTCTGTGCCAGCTCTTTGGCTCACTGGGAATCCCTGCTGGCCTCCAGTCCCACTCCCGTCTTCCTGTTCTTCTCTCCACCTGCTGCCTTGCCCCGGCCTTTGGATGTTCATTGCCGGACACGGGGGCCCACAGGGATTTCTCTCGGCTCTCCCGCCTTGTCCTGCGCAGTCAGCAGGCTGCGGCCTTGAACTTGGGCCTGGATGGAAGGCTGACCCATGGCGTCTCGGAAGGGCTAGGTGCTTGGTTTGACCCTTGCCGGCTGTGCTGAAATTCTTTATAGTCTTATCTTTGAGCTTGTGCTTTGTAAGTGACGTCTGATGGGCTCATGGTGTGCGCACCGTGGAGAGACACTGGGCAGCTGTGCAAACACGACAGGCCCAGACCTGCCAACGTGGGAAGCAGTGTGGGCGCCGAGGCATCGGCCGGGGGCCCAGGTGCAAGCTGCAGGGCATCAGGGCACTGGAAGGGGGCCAGGTCAGAACACAGGCCCAGAATGGCAGTGGCAATGGTGGCAGCAGCAGTGGGAGCGGCAGTGGCCATGGCTGCAGGAGAGGGCAGGGGCCTGCACAGGAGCCGCTGGGCCCCGAGGTGGGAGGCCGGCTCATCTCTCCATCTGTAGGTCCTATCTCGGTGGCATCTGCACAGACACTCACCCTGTGGCCTGATCACCAGGACAGGAAGGGCTGGCGCTCAGGAAGGAAACTCTGTCAGTAAATCATTACAGAAGGAAAGCGCGGACACTGCGATCAGGTGGATAGGGGCGCTAATTTAACAATCTCCATCCAGAAATACGTTCTACTGGGCACCCTGCCCGTAAGTCATGCTCTGACGCAGACCATCAGCATATGCGCTTGTCAGGCTTGAGCGCCCAGGCCAGCCGTCTTCCTGCTGGCATCTGCCTGCATCTCCTTTCTGCTTCCGCCTCCCGTCCCCTCCCTCCCCTCCCCGTGTCCTCCGGCTTCAAGTTATGACACACTTTTTAAAAGTACTGCGATCTCTCAGTCTGGGAGCTTTGTGGCCCTCACTTAGGGTCACCCCCGGAGCACAGGAAACTGGGGGAAAGTGTCCTTAGTGTTCACGTTGGGATCCTCACACCAGGATGTGGGGAGCGGCAGGCATAGGCCAAGAGAAGGGGGCCACTTGATGAAAGAACCTTAAAGAGACCACAGTCACCCCGGAGCCTGGCACCGTCACCCCTCTGCCAGCAGCCACCCCCCTTCCCCCACTCTCTGGCTTTCTTCTTTGACGTCGCCTTCAGGGTTTGTTTTAGCCCATTTAAAGTGTTGGTGGCTGGGGGGGTGGGGAAGGCAGAGTCGCTGGCCAAGTTGTGGAGACCCAGCTTGGCAGCCACGCCCCGGGTCCCCCAGGCCCAGCCCGACACTCCCCGTCCCACGATGCTGCCGCCCTAGGCCTCCCTGGCTCCTGACCCTCTGATCCCAGGGGCAGGAGAGGAAACAAAGGTCTACAGATTCAACGAGGAGCTCAGCTGCTTGGGGTGCCCTCTCCCCTCCCCATCTGAGAAGGGTTTGGAATGGAGGTTTCAAGGCTTTAGGAAAAGAGGATTTAGGCCCTTGGAACGATGCTGTCTGTTCTCTTGTGGAAGAACCGGAGGGGAGAAGAAAGAACTTGCTGGAAGTTCCACAAGGCAAAGGAAAGAAGATTTACACACACACACACACACACATGAGGTTTTTGGAAAAAATAAGCATAAATCATTTTCTGAAAGTGGATTTTTTTGGGGGGCAATTAGTTTGCTATAAGGTTAAGATGAGGGTGAAGAGATGTTATAAGGAAACAAGAGAGTGGACAACGTTGTCAAAGACGGAAACTTCCTGAATGTTCTTGACGCCCCCTCACCCCTACCGACAGCTTGGCCTGTCCACCTAGACTGGCCCAGACCCCAGGCCACTCCTGGAGGTCACCTCCTGTGATGGGACCACCGGCCGCTCCCAAAGGCCTCCGGCCCCAGCCCAGCAGCGGTGTGGCCGAGGGCCCACGGGGGCAGCCGCGGAAAGGGCGTCGTTCCCGGGCCTCCTCCGAGCCTTTCCTTAGGGGCACCTTGATACACCGGTGCCTAGGCTCCAGCTCCTCTCTCTGGGAATGAGCGAGCTACTCCATCAGCAGCTGATTTGCCGGCTACCAACCCGCGAGTCTCTCCTTGTTCAAGGCTTGCCACGCTGCTGGGTTCCTGCTAACAAGGCACAGGCGGACGCCCCCTGCACAGCCGCATCCGCAGCAGCTCCAAGCCCGTCCACAGGGAGGGTCACGGAGCCACGCTGGGTGGGGGGTGTAACCTGGGCCACATCAAGACCCCCCGACCTGGGACGGAGGTCCGTGTGTTCCTGGAGCCCAGGGGTCCTTTGAGGGCGGGGCTGTGTCTTCTCTGTGTTTCTCTGGCACCCAACTCGGTACCTGAAATGGCAGGAGCTCAATAATGAGGACGAGAGAGAGAGAGAGAGAGAGAGAGCAAAGGATGGGAAGAGAGAGAAAGCACCATCCTGGCCCAGTAGCCTCGGGGAGAGCGGGGTTCTGCCTCTAACTCAAGGCCCTGCCTTCAGAGCACAGACGGCGGTGGAACCAGGATGCCTGTTCCCTGCTTGCAGGCTCGTCTGCCGCTGTTTCCTCCGGAGCAATGACCAGGCGACAGCCTCCTCCTGTGATGCCCCAGGGAGATGGAGCTGGCCAGCTCCAGCCGGCACTGAGTCCGGGCTCTGACATCCCTTCAGCCTGCTTGCCTTAGCCTGAAACACGCTCCCAGCTCACCCCCATCCCGGTGAGGGAAGCAACAAGGCGAGTCACAGCAATGATGCCATGACGACACTTCAGCGGGGCCAGACGGAGACGCGGGTTTCGAATCTCCAGGATCCAGAAGATGATACACAAGTGGCGGTTCACTCTCTGCCCAACAGGAGAAGCTACCTTGCCTGCTCCTCCATTCAGGAGGCCCTGCAAGTGACAGGGCTGCCCTTCCGCGTGCTGTCCGTAGACGGAGCGTCCGTTTGTTCCCGGAAATTGAGCGGTTTGGAGAAGGTTTGATTCAGTCTTGGTCCTTTCTCTTGATCATGAGATACCTTACACACTTTCTTACTATTATACAGTTCCTTGTGGGAGGGCAGGGATTGTGTCAGTCTTGCTGGACACCAAGCCCCTAACCCCAGCTTTGCAGTGGGTCCCAGGATAGAAGAAATTGTGAATGTTGCAGGACAGTTCCGAGTCTGATTGAAAATACCGGAAAGGGCATGGATTTTCTAAGTGAGGCAGGGAAAGTGGGGTG